GAATCGCATTGCATGACGTCACAAAGGAGCGGTTATTGCAGCCAATCAGGGATTGCAATTTGTACCACGTGCAGTGCTGTTAAATACGGAAAACCCTATGCTTTTAATTATTCATTTCTCAATTAAGTTTGGTAAGGTACTCGATCTCTCCCTTGTCTTGCAATGGTAATTGGAAATCCTCGTTACTGTCGATAACGACTAAGTTGTAGATAATTCTCAAAAAGAACTTCGTAAAACACCTACACGATAGAATGGCAACAAACAACACATGTGGGTGAAATKAAAAGGTTGGTATGYTTGGACATYCGCGCATGTGCACGTGATACTATGCTATCTATAGAAACAATTAATTTGATACTGAGATTGTCGAGACATCAATTCGAGACTTACCRCAATTTATRTATCAGGTTTAAATCTCTCAGCTTCATTTCCAGACTCAGTGGAATAAATACAGCAGAATTATTTTTTTCCCATTCAGGAATATTTTAGCGCGTTTATCGAGGCACAAACAACACTGTCCTAAAAATACATCAAGTGCGAAAATCTCGGCTTGTGAATTGTGAAATTATTTAATTATTAAAAAGGTTTACAAAACTGACTTAAATACATATAACAACGAGCTTTTTCCTCGAGGTCCTGAGATGTTTAAGAGAGTATTTGTTTACAGATTCTATAAAACACTGGAAACGTTATAGCATCAAAGGTCATATATTCTACAATAACAACAGCAACATTGTACTGACATCAAGAATACTGCTGGGTTGTTATCATCAATTATGGAGCGTTTCATCTGTTACGGTTTACAAGCAGACAATGGTGACAAAAACTGCTTTTATATCTTTCTTTTTTTATTTTCTTTTGTAGCGATTTTGATGCACTTCTGAATATTTTATAGTGAGCTATATAAATTCATTCGTATACATTATTATACCATTGTTTTTATCAATATTATGAGGAATATTATAGCTCGTTCGTGTTATTTAGAAGCATTGCCATTTACTAAGCACATATATTTTTGCCTCTTTTATAATTAAACGTTTAGTTTTGTAAAAACAGTGCAACAAAACATTTTTAAATATCTGAGAATGTTTTATCATAATATAGTCGTAAAATTTGATCYCTTAGTTTTGGACGGAACGTTTTCTCTTGCCTCTTGTAACTTRGCCTCCAAAAAATGTTTTCCATTAGCTTAGACAGAGAAAGCAAACTAGTCAAGACTATTTTAAGACTATATAACAATGAACTATCGCTGCCTTGTTGGAATGAACAAGAGAAGCWAATGAAGAAAACATTTTATCATATAATTGTCTATAATATACCTATATTTCTCCATTACGTAAAGTTGATATTTTCACTAGAGAAAATACCACATTCGAGGTTTCTCTATATAGTGGAAGTAAGAAAAAAGGTAGTTTACGACATAATTTGCTTTCATTGATAATTATATGGTAAACAGAATATTACATAGTCGCTTGGAGATACGAATTTTATCTTCTCGTGTTGAAAATCYAAACTTCTAGATCTTTTCAACACTCGAAGATAAAATCYGTATCCCCGCACGCCCATGTAATATCCTCTATATACTGTAATTGTCATCCAACATGGCGTCGATGACGTAACGTCCAGTACGAGAAAAGGTAATAGAGAAATTAAAAAGAAAAATAAAATCAATCATCAACAAGCCAATATCTGATCCGAAACTCTACTCCTTAAGGCTGATTTACACGGTACGATTTGTCGCGCGCGACTTGTAGTMTWCGATTTTCCTAMTACAAGTCGTAGGATTTTAAGCAGTGGTTCAAAATCCTACTMCAAGTCGTAGGTTGMGTACGACTGTTGTAGACAAGTTGTAGGGGCATTTAYACTGCGCGATTCAAGTCGTATACTACAAGTCGCGCGCGACAAATCGTACCGTGTAAATCAGCCTTTAGATGTCGGATCAKATGCCGTCGGAAGAGAAACGAAGTGAGTCAAATCGACATGTGTTAAATTGCGAATCGACTACGCATCATGTTTGCCACACTTTTCTCGG